GCCGCTGCTGCCTGGCGCCATTTTGGGAATGGCAGTTTGTGTCTCTCTTTGTTCCCCTGGAGTTGTGAGGTCTAGCAGTTTAGTATCTAGCAATTACTTACTTATTTTCTCCTGCCTGTTGGCATTCTGTTTGTTAATAAACTTCTGTGGGTTTTTTTTTTTCATTCCCATCTACTCATATTCATTCCTTATTAGTGGAAAGGGATTGTATGAACTCTTAAAGGGAGACAACTCATTCCAGAATGTTCTCCATTAAATCGTCTCAAACCAAAAGACAAGGCAAAGAAAGTTTCTTTTTCAGCAGGCATCTAAGAGTATGCAAGAATCTAGCAGCCCACTGAAATCCTGAACTGATGTAGCACATGTGTGATACATGGCATGAATAAATTCATGCTGAAGTTATAATAATCCAGCATGAATATTTGTCTGTAAGAAGTGTATTCCAAGGGACCCCCGAAAAGCATGAGAACATATAAAAAGGACTGTGTGATAGTCACATTTTGTGAAACACAGTGGAGAGGAGCTAGAGAGCACCCCTGTCTCACCCAATGCTGTTTGCCCAGTACAACGTCAATCTGATTTTTGCTTGTGGCTTTTACAAGCATAAATTTGTATTTTGATTATAGAATAAATTCTTTTTATTAATCAAATTTGCTATCCATTTATAACAGACTGCTGACCCCAATACTATGCAAATTTGGGTCTGCAACCCTCCCTCTCTGATCGGGAGGCACCCCACTATTTATTAGTGACCTGATGCTGTGGGAGACCAGCAACCCCTGCTGCACCCTAATATTGAATTAAAGTAGAAGCCATAAGCAAAAGAGAACATCTGTAATTAGAACAAGAGGCCATAAGTACCGCTGGTTGAGTAGGTGTGACTGAGCATAAGAATGAGATGTGACATAGTCACGAAGTGAATGTGGACCCCTGATAAGCCACAGTTCCTATATCCCATGAGGGATAAGGTCAGTAAAAGGAGGAAGTGATTTTGAAGGGGCTCATTACATACGTAAAATCTGAATTTTGGGAGAAGGAGTTCGGACATTGGTCACAGGGGGGTTAAAAGGAAAGGTACGCTCTCAGGAATTCAAGGGACGAGCAAACCTTTTAGCCTAGGAATGGGAGGTCCACGGGAGAGAGAAGGAGAGAAAATAAAAGGGAGCATATTACTGGTCAGAATTCCAAGGGATGGTCCCCCGCTGGCTGGAAGATCAATAAAAATGGAAACAAGAACTGATCACGTACGGTGAGTACCAGCCAACTGAAAATCAGAACGCATGACTGAGTAAGACGCAACAGAAGTTGCAGAGCAATTGCAAAACCCCTAGAAGTGTGTTTTTCACTATCCTACTAAGGACCTGGACACTGAGGGGAGAAGTGATTGAGAATTACACTGAAACATTTAGTAAAATGGGGCAGAGAAAAAGTAAAACCCAGAGAGGATTCCAAGAAAAGTCCTCGGGAGAAAAGAGGAGGGAAATCCCAGAAATTCCACCAGATAGCCCACTGGGGTTTTTGTTAGAAAACTGGGAAGACTGTCACACAAGAGAAGGAAAATCTGAAGAGACGGTGATTGATTATTATATGGAAGTTTGGGTGGGGAAGGAGCTTAGAAGCCATTTGATCTGGTCCATGTTTGGATCCTTTACGGGATGGGTGTGTCAAGCTCTAAATATTTATGTAAATAGTAAGGAACCATCAGATCATGAGGAGAAGGACTATGCAAAGATATGGATAGGATCAGCAGCTTGGTTACTTACCATTAAGACCAGAAAGCCAGCTGAGACCAAGAATGAGAACGAGGCTTGGGATCTACTTGACAACTTACCACCCCCATAACTGGCACCCCAGCCTCAGCTCATTCAGCCTTCACAATTGCTGACCGAACCCCCACCTCAGCCTATGCAGATCACAAAACCAACGGCTCCCCCTAAGATGACTTGTTCTCCCCCTCCAAGGAGGGCATGGAGGACAATAAGAGAAAAAACTAGTAGTGAGAATAGCAAGAGTGACAAGGATAGGGAAAAGGGGCATAACCTTCTCCTGCTGAGGGAAGTACTGACAGTGCCAGGGATAATTGGATATGTTAATGTCCCCCTTAATACTGGGGATGTCCAAGCCTTCAAAAAGAAGATGGGTTAGCTGATGGTTGACCCCCTGGGGCTGTCAGACAGGTTAGACCAGTTTTTGGGACCCAGTATGTATACGTGGGATGATATGCAGGGTATACTAAGGACATTGTTTACTGCTGAGGAGAGGCAAATGATAAGACAGGCAGGAATGAGAGAATGGGAGTGCCAAAATCCACAAGGGGTACCTGGAAACCAAAAACAGCCAAACCAAAGACCCAGGTGGGATGCTCAGACAGAAGGGGGTCATCAAAATATGGCAGATTTACAGGATATGATAATACAAGGGGTCCGAGTGATAGTAAAAGGTTTTAAAATCTTAGAAAATCTGGGGACTTAGAAAGAAAGTTAAGCTTGGAAAGTCCTGGGAAAAGTAGGCCCTGGAAAATGTTAGGTCTTGTGCTTGTTAAAGATCAGGTGAAACTGCACCTGTGTAATCAGTATATGCTAAATGATACAATTGTTAGATGTGATTAGATACAATTATTGTTTAAAGAACATGAGGAACAATGTTAGGGGGTTGAGGGGATCACGAGAAATCCATGCTTGGGTAAAAACAATGCATACAGTAGAACAATATAAGTTTAATAATTAATATGTAAGTTATATAACGATAGAGTATAAACACACGTTCAACTCAAAACCAAGTCGGGTCAGATTTGGGTATGTGTACCCCTGACACCCAGAGCTCTTCAATAAAGCACCTTCACATAATCATTCTGTGATTATGTGTGTTCCTGAATGCTAACACGAGAAGCTGTCCCATGAGGGCAGAACATTAGCAAAGTATTTGGAGAATGCCAGGGAAAAGACGAATCTCCTACACATTGGCTCGAGAGATTAAGGTAAAGCCTGCAGATGTATTCAGGAGTAGACCTTAATTCTCCAATAGGAGAAGCATTATTGAAAACACAAGTTGTAGCAAAATCATGGGAAGATATACGAAAGAAACTCAAGAAGTTGGAAAATTGGCAAGGGAGAGGATTACTGGAATTGTTGAGAAAAGCTCAGAAGGTTTATGTAAGAAGGGATGAGGAAAAACAGAAGGTTCAAGCGAAAGTATTAGCTGCAGCCATTGGGGAAGTTCAAAAACAAGAGCGCCCCCGAAGCCCTGTAAGATCAGCACTGAACCAGGGAAGCCAAAAGAGGCAGTCTGTCCTATGGGAAGGGACATGAAAGAGTCCTCAAAATGGACATCCTGAATGCTATTACTGAAAGAAGAAAGGGTATCTAAAAAAGAATTGTAGAAAAAGAATGTAGGATGAGGGGATCTTCCAAGAGGACTAGGGGTGTCAGGGGATCTTTATTTTGGGGTCCAAACCACCACCTAAGACCTTGATAAAATTAAAAATAGGACCCCAAAAGGAAAAGGTATTTTTTTCTGATTGATATGGGGGCTGAACAGAGTACTGTTCAAAAATTGCCAAGAGGATGCATGAAAAGTAAGGATACAATGATGGTAGTAGGGGCAAAACAGGAACCCTTTAAGGTCCCAGTTATTAAAGATGTAGAAATAGAGTCGGAAACTAAGATTTGTTTAGGAAATACGTTGCTGGTTGAGAAGGCAGATTATAATTTATTAGGAAGAGATCTAATTGTAGCTCTGGGAATAAGTTTGACAGTACAAGGAAAAGATCTCATAGTAAGCCTGTACAGACTAACTCAAGGGGATGAGAGTAAAATTGATACCCAAGTCTGGCACACTCAAGGAGAAGTCAGAAGGTTAAAAATGGAGCCAATTTCCATTGAAATACAAAGGCCAGAGGACCCAATTAGGGTCAAACAATATCCCATTTCTATGGAAGGAAGAAAGGGATTAAAACCTGTAACTGATGAATTAATAAAAAGGGGGACTCTGGAGCGTTGTATGTCAAGGCACAACACAGCCCATCTTGCCAGTACGGAAAACTGATGAAACCTATAGGTTAGTTCAGGATCTGAGGGCAGTCAACTAAAGAACAAAGACATGTTTTCCAGTGGTTGCAAACCCATACACCCTTCTGAAACAAATTTCTCTTGAAGACACCAAGTATAGTGTAATAGATCTGAAAGATCCCTTCTGACTTGTCCATTAGCAAAAAACAGTCAGGATTATTTTGCCTTTCAGTGAGAGGACCCAGAAACAAAAAGAAAACAACATGGATAGTGCTTCCCCAGGGGTTTGTCGATTCTCCCAATTTATTTGGACACACACTGGAGCAGCTATTAAGTCAGTTTGTGCCAACAGAGGGAACCAAGCTCTTGCAGTATGTTGATGACTTATTAATAGCTGGTCAGAAGGAGGAAGAAGTTAGGGCAAACACAATAGCATTATTAAATTTCTTAGGAAAGAAAGGGTTAAATGTATCAAAATCGAAGTTGCCATTTACTGAACCAGAGGTAAAGGTACCTAGAGCATTGGATTACAAAAGGGAAAAGCCTTTTTTGTAAATTCTAGCCTAAAAGAGTGGCTGGAATTGTTGCATTACCACTCCCATGGACAAAAAGAGAAGTTAGACTACTACTGTGACTTTCAGGGTATTGCAGGCAATGGACTGAAGGGTATAGTGAGATAGTAAAATTCTTATATGAGAAATTGACTACTGAGAGAGTAAAATGGACAGAGCAAGATGAAAGAGGATTTAGAGAATTAAGGGAGACTCTTATAGCAGCTCCAGTATTAAGATTTCCTGATGTAAGGAGGCAGTTTCAGCTGTTTGTAGATGTTAGCAACCATACTGCTCATGGAGTATTAACGCAGGACTGGGCCAGAACTAAAAAACCTGTGAGATATATGACAAAGCTTTTAGACCCCATAAGCCGAGGCTGGCCCACTTGCTTACAAGCAATAGTAGCAGTGGCACTATTAGTAGAAGTGGCCAAAAAGATCACCTTTGGAGCCCCACTAATAGTATATACCCCCACAATGTAAGAAGAATTTTACAACAGAAAGCAGACAAATGGCTCACAGATGCTAAGTTTTTAAAGTATGAGGCTATACTGATTCATTCACCCAACCAGGAATTGCAAATAACTACCACTCAGAATCCAGCACAGTTCCTATTTGGTGAGCCATTGGAGGTATATAATCGTAATGCAGTGCAGAGGTGGTGGAATTACAAACAAACATAAGACCAGGTTTGGAAGAAGAACTAGAGGAAGGGGAAGAGTGGGTTGTGGATGGGTCCTCGAGAGTCATAGAAGGGAAAAGAAGGTCAGGGTATGCAATAATAGATGGAATGTCAGGAGAAGTGGTGGAATCAGGACCCTTAAGTGCTAGTTGGTCAGCACAAGCTTGCGAATTGTATGCAGTTTTAGAAGCACTTAAGAGGTAAAAAGAAAAGAAAGGGACAATTTTTACAAATATGCCTTTGGGGTAGTCCATACCTTTGGGAAAATTTGTGAAGAAAGAGGTTTAACCAGGACCTGAGGGCGAGGATTGATTCATGAAGAATTAATAAAACAAATCCTAGAAGCTATTAGGGGACTGGAAGCAATTTTTGTAGTCCATGTTAAGGGCCACTAGATAGGGAGGCGATTTCAGACTAGAGGCGGTAATTTGGCAGATATGGAAGCTAAGAGAGCAGCACTATTAGTAGTAGATATTCCAGAAATTAAAGGAGACAAATTCCAGGAATATCCCTTCCGTCCCACTTCCAAGGAAATTGAAGAATATAAGATAGGGGGCAAGTGGAAATGACAAATGGAGACTTCCCAATGGAAAGGAATTGCTATCTAGAGATTATACAAGGAATGCTTTGAGTAGGTTACATCAACAGATTCATTGCGGGGCACGAGCACTTGCAGAGCAGTTTCTGAAGTTTTCTGGGTGTAAAGGAATCTATGAGCTAGACAAACAAGAAATGCTAGGTTTTGTCAGAGGATAAATAGGACAAGGATGTGGCAAACACCATTAGGAGGCTGCCCTTTAGCATATCGACTGTTTGAAAGAATTCAAATAGATTTTACTGAACTACCCAAAGTGGGGAGGTGTAAATATCTGTTAGTAATGGTAGATCAGTTAACACATTTGGGTAGAAGCCTTTCCTAGTACCAGAGCCACAGCTCAAACAGTGTCAAAGGTACTGTTGGATGAAATAATACCACAGTACAGGATAATAGATCATATTGATTCAGACCAGGGGATGCACTTTACATCAAAAATCATTAGACAACTGGCAGATGCTTTAGGTATCTGCTGAGAATACCATACCCCTTGGCACCCTCAGAGCTCTGGACGAGTAGAAAGGATGAACCAAGCACTAAAAGCCCAGCTGTCAAAATTGATGCTATAGACAAAAATGTCGTGGGTTAAGTGCCTCCACTTAGGTCTGCTAAACATACGAACAATGCCACACTCCAAGAGTGGACTGTCACCCTTTGAGATGCTTTACGGAATGCCATATGAGCACGGGATGCCAGGCTACATCCAAGGCTAGAGGATGGCCAAATCCACCCTCATTTAACAGCCATTAATAAGAATTTGCAGGAGCTGAGAAAAAAAGGGTTAATAATGCAAAGCACTCCTTTGGGGTTTGCCATATATAAAATACAACCACGAGATGAAGTGTTGATTAAAACGTGGAAAGAAGTCTCCCTCACACCTCACTGGGAGGGTCCTTTCCTTGTGCTTTTAACCACAGACACAGAAGTATGAACTGCTGAAAGGACACACCATTCCTGAGTAAAGAAGATTGAACACCAGGAGAAGACACCTGAATGGAAAGTGACTTCTCCAGGAAGTTTGAAGATAAAACTGAATCAATATACTAATGACTGAAGAAGACAAGACAATATGTTTGGTACCACAGTGCGAATGTTATCCTTTTGTTCATTTTAAGTGTTATTATTGTCAAGAAATTTGAGTTAAACACTGTACATGTAGATATAAATCTAAAAGGCTTTGTCCAGCGTGCTGGGTGGAAGAAACCTCTATAACCAGTAATTCAATAGTTGTTGCTACTAACTTGGGCATATTGGAATTAGACTCTCCGGAGTGGTATAGATTGTTTCAAGAGGGAGCAAGAGGTAAATTGAGATCAGAGGCTCAAGTCCTTATAACTGAGGGTCGGCAAACAAAGTACCCTGTAATGCCGATGCAGTAAAAATATCAAAGTGGGATGCCTTTAAGAGGAGTTATACAGCTCATTCCACTTATGGATTTCCTGCAGGATATCCCTGCTGCCAAGAAGATGGACTCCCTTGCCACAGGCAAGGGTGTAGGCAGAGGGGTATGTGTGTGGGGAGCCCTGGTGGTTCTGAGTCTGATAATGCGGAGGATTATCAGTCTGCTCTCCAAGGGTTACCCCAGAGTTAAGAAGCAAAGCTCAACCCAAGACTGTGGGCAGTGTTTTGAGAACACCCTGACAGGACAAGGGGTTACAAAAACCCTGGCATATCGCACCCACTATGACTGCAAAACTGGCAACAAAACACGAGAATGCGAGCGTAACCACACTCAATACAAGATGTGTGTGCCAGATAGGAAGAAGAATATTCTGTTATGACCCAAGACAGACACCTAGTGATTGGTGGTTAGAGGTGTAGTCTGTGCCAAAGAGTAAGGGAATACTGACCCATGCATTACACAAATATGTTGCTGGGTTAGGGCCTACTGTTCCCACCTGTAACAAATGTAACTGTTCGGTATGGATCAGAGGAAGAAGGGAATCAACGTTTATGGCACACTATACACTATGGATGTGAAAACATACTGGGTTGGAGAAAATCTAAAATATGGTAAAATAGTTTCTTTCAGTAATGAGCCTGTGATAACTAATCCTCTTGACAGTAACAAGGACTGAATTTGCTTACGATACTGCAGAACTTTCTGTTCTGTAAGAGATGGAGAAGGGGTAGATCCAGAGAACAAGTTGAAGCAAATCGCTCAGGAATTGAAGAAACAAGAGTCAGAGGCAAAAAAGAAAAAAATGGAGCAAGAAAAGTTAAAAGCATTAAATGAGTAATATGAACAGTTAGAACAACAGAATAGTAATTGGGACTTACCCACCTCAAATAAGAACCTTTTTGTAGATCTAACACAAGAGATCGCTACAGAATAAGGATTATCTAACTGCTGGATCTGTGGAGGGCTTAAATCAGCTGAGAAATGGCCATGGAAAGGTGAGAGTTTAGCTCTAGAGCAACTTCTAAAATAGAATCACACCCAAATTTCCAAAACACTAAAACGACCTGAAGGAGGGTTTTGGATCACTGAATAATTGGAACAGTTTGTATCAGCAGAGAAGGAAAAAGATATACTGAAGTAGTGGGATATACTCCTTGTATATCCACTTTAGCAGTAAATTCAAAAAATAATACCAAAGACTGGCTACCAGAAACCCCCACTGGATATTGGAGTTGAACAAAAAAGGCAAATTGTGAATGGAATGATCAAATTGAGTTATGCTGGCACAAAAGCCCTGGAGCTAATCCTTAGCAACCCTTTAAAATCTTAAAGGGTTACTGGGAGAAACCAGAAACTGTAAATGACCAATGGAAAGCACCTGACAGAATATACTGGATATGTGGGAAAAAGGCATACAGTGAATTACCCCACAGATGGAAAGGATCCTGTACTCTGGGAATGACTTGATGCTCCTTCCTCATGCTACCAAAGTCTGAGAGTAAGCTGTTGGGAGCACCCCTATATGAGACACTAGACAGAGAAAAGAGAGAGCTGAATCATGAGTTCCTAAAAGCAGCAGGGAATCAGAAATGGGGAGAGGATGAATGGCCTGCAGAAAGGATATTAGCCTACTATGGTCCAGCAACTTGGGCTCAAGGTGGGAGATGGGGATACAAGACCCAAATTTACCTATTAAATCGACTAATAAAACTTCAGGCTGTAGTAGAAGTTGTAACAAATCATACTTCTAATGCTCTTGAGTTATTGGCTAAACAACACTCACAAATGTGAGCATTTGTGTATCAAGACAAATCACTTGAATCACTTTGGACTACTTGTTAGCAGAAGAAGGAGGAGTCTGCGGAAAGTTCAATGAGTCCGAATGCTGTGTAGAAACAGACGGCTATGGGGAAACTATAGGGAACCTTGTGGCAGAAATTAAGAAAGTAGCACATGTACCAGTTCAAAAATGGAATTCTATCCTTCAAGCATCATGGTGGGATCAAATGTTTGAAGGGGGAGCTTGTGTAAGAAAATAGGATTTTTAATACTGTGCTCAATAAAGGGGCTACTATTACTGCCTAGTCTCATACCATGTTTTATCCAACTAATCCATTCTGTTGTCCAAATAGCGGAAATGCCCACTGATCCTGAGTTAGCTACAATGGAAACTGGTCAACCTGAGAGAATATCTAAAATTTCTAAGATAATAGAATTAAAAGAAGATAAAATGAGCAGAGCTGCTGAAGCTCTGGCCAGATTTGAAGCACAGGTGCGATTAAAAAGCATAAAACTTAATTTATACAGACAAAAGAAAGATTATGAAATGTGTAAGGTACGGTCCCGGGACAGTTATAAAGATGAGTTTTAACAGACAACCTGAAAAAGCATGGGAAAGTTATTTCACCAGTAGCATTAAGCTACTGTGTAGTCAAAATATAACTCAGGATACAATAGGCATGTACATTGATATATAATTGAGTATCCAAATAAAAGGAATCAAAGATTAGAATAACCAGTCTTACGAAAAGAGTTGTTAGACACCGACTAGCAGTATAGAAAGTCTTGCAGTATAGTTAAGTCTTGTAAATACTGATTATAAAGCTGAAGAATAAGTGAGCTTTATTGAAAATTGTCTTAAAAGAACTAATTAATGAATTAACAAAGGGGGGAACTGTGATACATGGCATGTGTGATACATGGCATGAATAAACAGCATGAATATTTGTCTGTAAGAAGTGTATTCCAAGGGACCCCCGAAAAGCATGAGAACATATAAAAAGGACTGTGTGATAGTCACATTTTGTGAAACACAGTGGAGAGGAGCTAGAGAGCATCCTCGTCTCACTCAACACTGTTCACCCGGTACAGTGTTGATCTGATTTTTGCTTGCAGCTTTTACAATTGTATTTTGATTATAGAATAAATTGTTTTTATTAATTAATTTGGCTATCCATTTATAACACATGGAACAATGAAAGATAGAGAGGGAAGTCTCTGGGCAACTCACAGTAATTACAACTTAAAAGACTGAAAAGACAAACTGGAAGTGGGACTGTCAACACTGTCCCATAAATTATGGGATCCAGCACAGCAGTGATTTTTGCTGATACACAGTCTGCTGAAGAGATAGTAGAGACTGTTCCATAGTTTCAAAGATAAAGAAAATTGCACATGATACCTGACCTTAGGACCAGAGATATTTACAAAGACATTATGGAAAGCAGGGCCAGGGAAACTGAGAATTTTATAGGCATAGGATAGGAACAAAGAAAGATCCACCTGCACAGTGAAGTGAATGGAAAGATCTCATTGATTTACTAAAATATGGATGTGATCTAGTATCAATATCTAACTGAGATGGACAAAGACTCTTTAACCATTTTGGGGTTACAGAGTGGTATGTTTATTAACAGCTCTGGGCCAGTGCTGGGCCAGTGCTGGGTCTCCCCTTAATACGCATATCCCTGAATACAGGTGGATGCAGGCTTTTTATTTACAGAAATATTGAATACAAACACATATTCATAACCCAGTTGTCACCCACTCTCCACTTCCTATGCTAATTAGGAAAAAAGCAATTAAGCATGCGTAGTTTATTCCTTGAAATGGGTTGGTGGTCCTATTATGGGTAGGGATCATAAATGGGAGAAAGGGATATGGATCTTCCTTGTTCTGACCTTTCTACCTTTTCAATGCAAAGCGACAAATGGACCCTTGGCTGAGCTCCTAGTTTCATGTCTTCAATGAGTTTCTGATTTGCAATTTTCTTATGTTCTTGAAGCTCTTTACCAGATTCTTTGTCTCTCATTATAAGCCCAGCTGAACAAGCATAAAGTTGGTAGACAATTAGTTATTAGCCAACGATTAACCTCTAATTTTACAAAGCCTTTCTATCTACCTTTAATTTTAACGAGGCCCATCTATTTATTTTAATTAGATTTAGCAAGGCTTATTTTTAATTAAGGCCTCAGCTTCTCTAAAATCTTAAATTCTTCAAAGTTTATGTCTCATCAAGAAGCCTGAGAAATTGAAGAACAATGATTTGATTTGTGTAGAAGTCCAGTTTGAGGGTGAGCATTTCTGCAGTCATTCCATCTATCACTAAAGATACTTAGAGGCCATGAAATAACATCTTGTGTTCTGCAAAGGAAATCAGCAAGCAAGGAAATGGAATTTTTTTCCTTTTCACACTGAAAAAATTCAGCATTCTTCACCTATTTGTGCATGGCAAGAGATGAAGTCAATATGCTTGGCATAATGGCATGAACCACCAATGCACATGAGTTCAGCTATTTGTATACCAGAAGCAGACAGGAACTGGTTTAGAGGATGAAACCACAACCAGGTAAATTCTGTATGGCACAGATAGCTAGCAACCTCTGGAGTTAACAGTTGTGTTAAACATTTCTACATAGGGAAGGCATTGGGATTGACTATAGCAAAAATATTACACCTAATGAAACTGCTTATTTCTGTTTTCAGACAATAGCAGACTCATTAAAATAATTATTCCAGGTATTCCTGCCTAAATAACTGAAATCAAGATACATTTCTGTACTGATAAAAATAACATGCCATGTGAAATTCTTATTCTTGATTTAATTTTCCCTCAAACCTCACATTTAGTTTCTGATACCATTTTCTATAATTTGGAAATAGCATATGTTTCATTTCTAACA